CAGTCTTCAGGGTAAGTGCTAATGGAGGCTTCATTTATCTTCTGAGGTGACTTCTGGCTTTTCAGAACGGTGCAGTAAAAACTACCCTTTTGGAAGGTTGCATTTCCACTCAATTTCAAACAGTAGTTCTGTCAAACCTCCATCACAACCCTTCCCAAGTACTAATAAAAGAATTTCTTGCGTGGTTTTTATCCACACTTTGTTTTCCGAAGTCCTGCAGTTTGGAACAGGAGAGTATTTGAGGTTTAGCAAGGACAGAGATGGCTGAGTCATATGTGTGCCCAGACCACGAGGGTGATAGGAAAAACAGACACACTTGTGTCATGGAGATGATGACTACATTGCTAAGTGTTCAAGTTCCTCTGCTGCACACCAGGCTGCCCAAGCACATCTTGGCCAAGGAAGTCAGCACGTTTTCAAAAGATGAAGCACAAATAAGAAGCAAAAAAGGGAATTTTGGGCCAGAGAAAGTGAGGGATATGGGTCAGCCTGGCAAGTCAAATCAGACCTGGACTTGCTGCAACTTCGTAAAGGAAGTGAGTGACAGTAAAAGCTTGATAGTCCGGCAGATCAAAACTATTTACCCTTCAAGCTAGTGCAGCACCAGGAGTAACCTACTTCCACTCCTTCCCTTTGCGGGGTCCTATGGGTTCATGGTACAGAGGCAGGCAGGAAAGCACCACTTTTAAGAAGGCAAGCACTGAGCCAAGTCAAAATCAAGAGCAAAGGCTGAAAGTTTTGCCTTTGCAGTCTTGAGGATCTGTGGAGAAACTGAGGTCCTGTTACTGACGAGGGAAGTCAGTAAGCATTAAACTACTCAGCAAACTGGCTGGGCATTTCGTTTGGTGCCAGCTCCTCCATAGATGCTCTCCATTCGCTTTTCAGCAGCTCATCCCCCAGCACCGGCTCGGCGGTGGCCGAAGCAGGACCAGCCAGCTGACCCCTCTGCATAGTTCTGCTGCATCTTCTCCTTGCTGCAGCTGATCACCTGCAGGCAGGTTTACACAAAGGAAGCTCAGGGCCCACCTGGTAGCAGGGAGGGCTCCCCAAACTGACAAGCCTTTGGCTCCTCCGAAGCCCCAGCTCAGCACTGGGGAGCAGGGAAGGAGGCAGCATCACTCTGATGAATTGCTGTCGCCATAACTCAGCCCTCGGACTGATGCTGCTAACAGGGAGGACATTGACTGGGAACACCGGCTCCAGCTGCCGTCTTACAAAATCCACCACTCATGGCCTTTAGGATCTGAAATGTGCTACAGGGACCAGGTGGTCTCACTGGGTGCGGATGTCAGTGACAAGCATGAATGTGCTGCATCCGAACCTGGAAACACACGAGAATTACCAGCCACCCTGCGTATGCTCGTCTCCAGCTCACTTGGCCCTCAGGCTGGGCTCAAAGCATCAGGTGAAACATCGCGCTGTGCTCTGCCAGGCTCCCGAGACGAGCAGATCCTCCCTCTGGTACCTTCCCCACAGGTTCGTGCGCTTTCCCAACACAGCCGTTTCTTGCTTGGTTTCCATGGTCTTGAGCTGCTTCCATGTGCTCTGTTTATGCCTGGATTTAATGGGCTTTTCTTCCATCATTAAAATCCCATAAATTAATCCACTGTTTATTTGCCTGTCCAGAGACTTGTTTGTTCTTTTCAGCTAAATATTTCGCATGGGTTGTCAAGCAGCTTCTTCCTGCTTCTCCCAAAACCAGGTCAAGCCACTCTCTGGGCTGTGTTTGATGCTGGGAGGCGCAGCCCCTGCCTCCAAGCCAGACTGCCTGCTTTGGAGGATTATCAAATTCAGGCCCACAAAGCACCCCACAATTATCTCTGCCACAGCTGGCCAAGGCCTGGCTTCCAGTATTTTACTCAGCCAATAAATGTCCCCTTGCTCTTCTCTGCCTTGTTCTCTGCTGTTTTGGGGTAATAAGGGCCAAGTGTGGGTGTGGGAAGCCAGCAGTTGTTACCATCCCCCAAACAGGCACGGGGGAGTGGGGTTGTGCCTCTTCCTCCCTGGAGCCCAGGCTGAGCTCAGCTACACAAACAAATGTTCGTTACCCACACTAGTGGATCTGTGCATCTCCTGCTTAAATTTCTGAGGGAAAGGCTTCCTCTGCCTTTGTTCAGTAGCCTGGAGATACTTATGCAAAACAAAAGGGATCTTGCCATTATTAAAGAATAGCTTCCACAAAACTTCAGAATAATAGATTTCATGATTTCTGCGAAGAAAATCCTAGAGAGGATCACTTCAAAAAAATCTCAGATCCACAAATTTCCTTGTCAAGGCTATATGTGCTGCCCAAATTGCAGTGTCTGAGAACCTGAAACAGAATTAAATTGTCAGTAAATCAGAAAGCCTATTTTCATTGCCTCAGTTGAGACAAAGGCAAGAAGTGAGCAAACAGCATTTCTAGGTGGCAGCAAATTTATTTTCACAATTCTTTAAGGGTCAAGATCTGCTGCTTCCACCTTAACACTAAATATTACCTTAAACTCAACTTATGCTACAAATACGCCCATTCGATTCACCAAGTGTGGCATCTGCTTTTTGGCCCTGTTGTGTACACAAGCTCTACATATAAAAAAAATGCACACACACACTCTTTACGCACATACAAACATATGTGCGATATTTTATGGAGGCACAGAGTAATTTAGGTTGAAAGGGACCTCTGGAGGTTGTCTGTTCCAGTCTCTCCCTCTGAGAATTTGGAAGTTATATTGTGCTGCTCGCAGCCTTATCTCACAAGGTGTTGAATTCCTGCAAGGATGGAGACAGGCCTTACTCATCCCAGTGCAACTTTTCCTGTGAGTATTTGGATCATTTTACAGATAGCAGTTTTGCTTGGGCAAATTACAGCTACAACCCAAATGGATATAGCCATTTTATTAATGAGCTTTAGCAATCTTAAGAGAAATTAAATTTCTAGCTTGAGTTGGGAAACACGAGAATTTGAATGAAGCTTTGCAAAAGCTCCTGAGTGTTGGGAAGTTATTACTCAGACTTTGGGGGAGTCCTCCTTCAACAACAAGTGAGACCCTCCCACCACCATACACCACAGAAACAGCTATTTTCGGTCATGGATGGTGAGATGTATCAAACTGACTGTCAGTTCTAACAAGATAATTAGACACGTGTAATCAATTTGCTCTGGAATCCAAATCAGATACAATTCATAGATAAATGGCTTCATTAAAAGAGAATAATAGCCATAGGTTAAGAAGTCCCAGCTTGCCCAAGATGATTGACTGCCGTTCTGGGAATTAGAAGACACAAGTTTAATTCCTGGCTTTGCTGTTGCTTTTCTCTGGGACCTTGAGCAAAGTCACTTCACCTCCCTTGTGCTTCAGTTTCCCATCTGGAAAAAGGACTTTGTAGAGGATGTAGAGATCTACAGGCAAAAGGCTATATAACTGCGAAACACCAAGGTTATTTTGATGCAAGAATTTATTATTAATAAAAAATTACAGAACCATATTGAATGACAGAAAAGGCTTTCTTTTTCTTTGTGGAATGATTATGGGGACAGGGAGGGGGAATAGAAAGCTTTCAACACAAACTGCAGCCTGGTTTCCAAACTCAGAGCGGCGGTAGACTCTCCCCGGTTGGTAGATCAGGCACAAGGGAGAGGCTCAGTTCTGAGGAGCATGAAGGGCTGAATTTCATTTCCCAGCCAAAGGGAAAAAACTGAAGAAACAGTTTGGTGGTCCCTTTTTTATGGAGCCAGTAAATATCATTAGGGGAAAAGATACGCCTCCAGGAACCAGGCTTCATGAGGCAGTGGAGAATTCAGTGAGACAGAGCAGCAAGGTTCAGTGGTGGGGAGCTCCAACAGACACGGTAATTAGGTTATGAGACACAATGAAACAAAACCCAGCAGTGTGAGAAGGGAGCCACGTACAGGCATGGACAGGAGTTCTGCGCATTGGAGATGTACGGCTTGTGGCAATGACAAGGCAGCCCTGTCACTCACAGTTTAAAACAAAAGGAAAAAGGATGTTACCTAACCACAATAAAAGAAAAAGAAGAAAGGGGAAGGTGAAGAAGAGATAGTCTCATTACCTTTCCCTCATGTCTCATTACCTTTCCCTCATGTCTCATCTTTCTAGTCTGCTCGCTCTCTTTTTATCACCAAACTGCATGAAAGCAGTCATCAGGTCTGTCAGCTGGTTGGGAGACACGCTGACAGCACTGTGCACTCATCAGATTTCACTTTGTAGAATTTAGACAGCACACTGGCGGAGAAAGATGGGATCTGCACTTAACTGTGGCAGTCTGGAGTCACAGTCTGAGGTCATTTCCTAATAGGGCACTTCCAGCACAGCTTAAATATCATCATACGAGGTTATGCTAAATAATAAAAAGATATGAATAAAGTTAACATATTAGAAATGCCAGACAAAATGGAACTTTAAAAACAGTGAAACATATTGTTTCCTTTGGCAGTGAAACTAAGTGTAATACTGTACTTCTGAGTGAAAATAGGGAGAGAAACCGGCTAAAACCCAGCCTCAAAACTGGCCTTTCCTGGTGGACACCCTAGTCTTCAAGAGTAGCAAATTCACAAGCAGAAATACGATCAAAACACGCTATTATAGTTTAAATAATCTGTATTATATCTGAGGCTGTAAATCAGTCCTGAGATCTGAAGAAGAGTTTCTCATGTGATGTCATCCTCTGTGATTTTTTTAAACTATTTTTCTCACCACAGAAGTGGGAAGACCTTGCAGAGAAATGACTGAAGGGAACATATTCCTTCCCTCTGGTCTGTTTGCCTTCTCCAGCTGGCACTGCAAAACTGTCCATGTGTTCTTTAGGTACCCAAACCGAGCTGACGTTTCAGCCGCGTCTTGACACATAGTTTGGGATTTCCTGAGCTGAAGGCCTCAGCCAGCCTCATGCCATACACGATCTGACAAATCGCTGAATAATAGATCCTGTCAGTCCACAGCAGATGACGGACTATTTCCACATCTCCCCCTCTCTGTTTCCCGCTTGCAGAGTACACAGTGATCAATGAAAACTGCCCAGGCGCCGAGTGGAATATCATGTGCCGGGAGTGCTGTGAATACGACCAAATCGAGTGCATCTGCCCAGGACAGAAAGAAAGAGTGGGCTACACCATTCCCTGCTGCAGGAACGAGGAGAACGAGTGCGACTCCTGCTTAATCCACCCAGGTATGTTTAGGGCTGCACTGCGTTCACACCAGACCTTTGGCCGAGTCATCAGCACGTAATGGTAGCCGCTGGGCAGGGGAGCGGCGAGGGCAGGCACATCTCACTGGGGCACGGGATTGCTCTGCATCTCCTCAGGAACTCCCTCTGCCGCTCTGCTGACAGCAGCAAGACACTTGGCAAGGTGCCCCTGCAGCAAGGGAGCACCACTGCCAGAAAAAAAAACCAAACACTTTCTACTAGCAATGTTGTCCTCAGGGCATCTTGGGCAGGCTTGGGAGCTGCCAAAAGGTGATGCTGCAGCTGGCTTCACACCAGGAGCGTTTTGTAGGTGCTCTGGGATAATTTGCATCTCCAAAGCAAGAAGGGAGAGACGACTTGGAATTCCAGGTCCGGCTGGCAAGGAGGAAAGGGCAAAGTGAAAGGTGAGAGCAGGAGGAAACAGTACCCGGTTGGAAGACATCAGAATCACTTGGGCTGGGCCTGAGTGGCACCAGCATCCACATTCAGACTCCTGACAGAGGCACTTAGAGTCGGAACAATGAGATTTAGAGGTTTGGGCAAGTCAGACTGTGAATTTGGCTCCAAATCTCCGAGTCTGAGCTGGCTAGGGTTTGGGGGTGGAGGGTATGGTTCACAGTGGGGAAGCTGTCAGCACCACAGCAGTCACTGATGTCATTGGCATTTTTTGTGGAAAAGAGAGAGAGGTTGCTCCTCTCCTCACAGGACAATCTGCCTTGACTTTCCGCTAATGCAGTGGCTCTCCTTTTAGGCTGCACCATTTTTGAGAACTGCAAGTTCTGCCGCAACGGCTCCTGGGGAGGGACGCTTGACGACTTCTACATCAAGGGGATCTACTGTGCGGAGTGCAGAGCTGGCTGGTACGGAGGAGACTGCATGAGTAAGTGTCCTACACGGGCAGGGAGGCATGTCAGGGACGGGGAATGGTGGGACAGAGCCAGAACCATGCTGTGCCTTTCCAGCTGTTCCTCTACGGTGACTCTTGCGAAAGGCACAGGCAGGAAAGGGCAAACACAAACCGGGCCCTAAGCAGATCTACAGTGCGGAAAACTTCTCTCCCAGAGCTCATCTGCTAGGGGTTGGCCCCGGCCCCGAGTCATGGGAGGTTACAACCTGACTAAACTTCTGTTTTGTTTTGGTTTATTTTAAAACTTTTAACTACTGTGACTCTGGAAATCTTCTGTTGTCTGCATTTCTCAGACATATTTCAGCATAACTGATTCACCAGAGGCCTCCAGCAAAGCATAAACATTTACAAGGGTGACAGCTGTGTCAAAGAGTGTCTCCTCTGTCCTCCTTCAACCCCTGGGCCGCAGTACCAGCCCCAAGGAAGTCCCAGCACTCCCTCTCTCCTTCACACAGCTCCAAGGCAGCTCTGGAAAAGTGTCTTGTCATTGCAAACAGCGCCGTGATGCACCAGGAGTGTTCAGGCTCTGGTAGCCATATCTGAAGGTTCTGTTCCCAGCAGCGTACAAAAGCTCCTGCTTCTTGGATTTTGCTGAGCTGTTGGTCCCAATGCTATCCTTCAATAACGAGTTCCATAAGCTAATTGGATACAGTTCAAGACTAGTATTTCCTTTACCAGTCTCCCACGGGTGAAGGTATAGCCTTTCACCAATCCTCTTTCAATTTTTATTGACTCTCTTTGTTCACACTTCACTGAAAGAGAAAACAGAGTCTGCTTTTCCTACTTTGTTCTGTCCATTATTCTACACACCTTAGTCTTGTTTCCTCTTAGTCATTTATTTTAAAGCAACAATTGAACCTGATTTCCCAACACAGCCCACAACCATTCAGGAGGCGAAAGGAAACCAAATCACTGCTGCAAACAGCAGAACGTAGGGAATCGGCATGTTTCAGCAGCAGGGCTAACTCCGCCTTGGTGCTTTGGAAGTTGATAAACTGAGTCCCTTGCAGTTCGTGGTGTGATTTCTGACAGCATTTCAGTCGCATCTGCTCCGAGTTGATGCTAGAGCTCCCCCGGCACCTTCTGTAAGAGCAGAGCCGAGTAAGAATCATTAGCTCGGCTAATCCTTCCTCCCTCTGCCCGAGCAGATGGGTTGCCTACGGTATAATGCAGCATGCTTGTGTTTTAAAGCAAATACACCCTCACACTGCAGTCTGTTTGGACATTATTGCAACACTGCAATTTTGCAAAGCCTTGCCTCACCGTGTTTTTCCTCCTACTTGCTCTTTCGAGGCAAGCAGCGTGGTGCTGAGGCCGCAGTTTCTTTTGCGCGGTTCTGCAGCGTTTCGGCGGCAGGGCAGGGTGGGCAGACAGCGCAGTCGCCTCTCCCGCTCTCCGAGGAGCCCCGGGGACAGCCGCGGTGCCCGCGCTCCCCAGCGCTGCCTCTCACGGCTGACTCACAGGCTCACAGAATGGTCGGGGCTGGAAGGGACCGCTGTGGGTCACCTAGTCCAAGCCCCCTGCCGAAGCAGGGTCACCTACAGCAGGCTGCACAGGACCTTGTCCAGGCGGGTCTTGAATATCTCCAGAGAAGGAG